GTCCGCCTGGGCCTCCCAAAGTGCTGGGATTACAGTCATGAACCACCGTGCCTGGCCGGAGATGACATTTTTATCATAAAAAGTCTGCACTCTGCCCTGGTTGGGGACACTATCCCTATCCTCTCAGGATATTTGCCCTGCAGATGTCCTTGGAAAGATTGTCAGGAACAAAATCTGTCAGTATCTTTGCTCTGAAGATGGGTACAAACACAGGAAACCCGTGGGTAATTGAGTTTAAAACAACACAGTTCAGGCTCTCTTGGGACATATCTCAGTGAAAGGGAAACAGTAAACATGTAGCTAAGAACAAAAAAATGACAGAGAATGATAAGCTCAAGGAAGGAGCCACAGCGTGACACGTGCTAGCTAGACAACGAAGTGACTGATGACGCCTTTAGCTGGGGTGGTCAGGTAGCTACCACAAGGCACCAACTGTGGAAACATCTGGGGGAAAAGCTAAAAAAAAAAAAAAGCCAGTCATTCAGATTTGGGGTTTTACTCTGGAGGCATTTCCTGTGGCTTTGCCACAAAAGAGACATTTCTCGAAAGTTGACTTTAGATTAGTTTTACTTTAGTTTTGAATGTGGTGCTTGATAATGTAGTCCTCTATGATTGAAGATTAATAACTCAGGCAATTTGAGGGCAACAGGGCGTGGTTCTTTTGGAAAAAAGAAATGTCTTTTTATCCCTATTAAAGACAGCAGACTTAAAAATAAAATTCTCATTATATGAAAGTATTAATATTTCTGAGGATTTCTCATAGGCTTCAGAATTTACAAACTATCTGGTTTGTTTTATTTCTCTTACCCCCAAGGGTCTTTTCTTTTTTGCAGAGGATAGAATTCTGGTGTTAAGGGCTATCTGTTATTTCATGTCCCAAGTGTCAACAAAACAGTGACAACCTCAGTGTCCCAAGTGACACCTCTCCCTCCCCCCACTCAGTCACTCTCCCTGCTCCTCCATCCCATCCCCTCCCCCCACAGCAGCGATGGAGGTGTGAAAAGTTGAGCTGCCTGAGGATTATATAGTGGTGACATGCAATGGCTGTCTCCCTGCCCGAATGCTAGGGGACCTTAACCTCTCTGCATCTCAGTCTCCTTGTCTGTAAAGTAGGGACAATAATGACACCTACCTTGCAGGGTTTCTCTGAGGATGAAAAGAGTATATTCAAGGAAAAGTGTCTGGCACTTATTAAGGACTCCATAAATGATGACAGAGATGATGAAAAGCAGAACCAGCCCTGAGAGTCCGTACCACCACAACTAGTTGAGTTTTGTTTTTATTCATAGTCCAATAATTTGGCATTTCACTAACTTATCAATTGAAAGGAAAAGAGAGAGACTGTTGTTCTTTGACAAGGCATTGAGGTGGAGGGTATCACCCTGCATCTTTTTTTTTTTTTTCACCCTGCGTCTTTAGACATAATCTCAAATGAGATTCAAGGATCGAGATGAATTACTGTCAACATTTTAGAACTTTCTGAAGTCACCGAAGTGTTTATCTTAAAAGATGTGTATAGAACTTATTTCAAAATGCAACCACAATATAAAATGGATGGACACACGCATAGATGGAAAGATATGTGATAAAGCACATATGGCAAAATGCCGATGGTGGAATCTAGTGGTGGGTACATAGGAGCTCACTATCTGCTTTTTTCAGCCTCTCTGTATGGTTGACATTTTTATAGTAAAATGCTGGGGGGAATACTGTGCAGGGTCCTGATTACATGGCTGAGCTATAATCTTGATATTTTGCCTTTAGAAGTATTTTTTTCCCCTAAGTAAATAATGAAGAAATGCAGCGATTTAAAAAGGAAAACATCATCTAATGCCTGCCTCTCCGATGATAACTCTTTAAGAAACTCTAAAAGCAGACATGGTGGCGTGCCTGTATTCCTAGCTACTCTGGAGGCTGAGGCAGGAGGATCATTTGAGCCCGAGAGTTCAAGGCTGCAGTGAGCTGTGATTGTGCCACTGCACTCAGCCTGGCCAAAGAGCAGGACTTCATCTCTAAATATGAATGAACGAATCAAATAAGCTCTATAGAAGTTTAACGTTCCTTGGATCAGAGTTTGAGGAGCCCAGG